GCTAGAAGAAGAGAAGAGATTGGATTTATACCCTGCCCTTCACTACCCAAAGATGTCTCAGAGTGGCTTACAAACTCCTTTCCCTTCCCCTCCTCACAACAGACACCCTGTGAAGTAGGTGGGGCTGAGAGAGCTCTGACAGATCTTGTTGTGTGTGTGTCCCCCTCCCCGTGCCTTTTCGATTGCACTTGGGGGACAAGATTGCCTGGTCCACCATCATAAACAGTAAGTGATCACACAGCAACCCCCCCAAAAAAAAACAAAAAACAAGCAAAGCCGTGCATGATAGAAGCTAAGAGTACTCTTGGCATCTTCTATTGTGCACGGCTTTGCTTATTTTTGGGTCCACCATCATGGCATTTTTAAATGGCCAATTCATTGCTAAAATGGCATCGGTGTCCACAGGTCAGACCTGAGGACACTGTTACGTCAAGCCTGTATGGGTTGGGACTAGGAGGGAGGGAAGTCAGGACTTGCTTCCTGGAAGCCCTAAGCCACACCCCCAGTTCCCAGAAGCCCTCAGTTGGGGCTGGTGAAGCTGCGAGCTGCACAGGGTTTTAGTGCATTCAGAGTTCCCGTGCAGAAAGGTAAGGAGCTGGCCTGGGCTCCAGCGAGGGTGGGGAGGGTAGAGAGTGCCCAGGCTGGCTGTGGCCTTTGTAGCCGGCTGAGACGCTTGCCCCTGCGGGCTATGGAGGCTGCAGCTGGTCTGGGGCTTGCCTTGAGCAGCCACGTGCTGCTGTTGTTGTTGTTTCCCCGGCTTGGGGGGGGGGGGGGGGGCGTGCCAGTGACTCAAGGGGGAGGCAATGAAACCCTTTCTCTTGTGCAGCCCTTGTTGTTGTTTTCCTCCCTCCCTCCTGCAAAGTTTGCCTTGAGCAGCCATGTGGGGGAAGGGGGAGGGGGAGAGCCAGCTTCCCTTCAGGATTACTGGTTTGGGGAGGCTGGTTGCCTTGTGCAGCCCTTGTTGTTGTTGTTTTCCCCCCTCCTTCCTGCAAAGCTTGCTTTGTGCAGCCACGCGGGGAGGTGGGTGGGGAGGGGTGGCCTAATAGAGGTTGGGAAACTCGTGGAGTGTTGGGGATGGAGCCTGGGGAGGACTGGGACCTCAGTGGGGCACAATGCCATAGAGTCCACCTTCCAGAACATTCATTTTCTTCAGGAAAACTGATCTCTGTAGACTGGAAATAAGCTGTAATTCCAGGGGATCCCCAGGTCCCACCTGGAGGCTGGCATCCCTAGCTCCAGTTCTGGAATTGGAAGCTCTGGTTCTGCTGTGTGAGTTGGTGCATGCAAACCACTGGTATTGGCTTGCATTTGCCAAATCTCCCTGCTTCATATAGGAGGCACAACAGCCAGGTGGAGGAGGGGAGGGGAGGGGTGTAATTCTACCAAAAATAAGAGTGTTTGGGTTTCTCTGTGAATTTAAGGACAGGAACTGGCAGTGAAGTGAGATTGGAAAAGAGTGTGTGGCTTTCTGATAACCCTTGTGCTACAGTAATAATTATGCAACAATACAGTTTGTTAGTCTTAAAGGTGCTACTGA